GGAAGTCCCATGTCATGTGGTAAATTCGTCTCCCTTGGATGTCCCATCTCCTGTGCTAAATTCCTCTTCCCGTCTCCCTACCTGCGAGTTCCCACCTTAGATGTCCCATCTCCTGTGGTAAAATTCCTCTTCCCGTCTCGCTGTCTGCCAGTTCCCACCTTGGATGTCCCATCTCCTGTGCTAAATTCCTCTTCCCATCTCCCTACCTGCCAGTTCCCACCGTCCCATCTCCTGCGGTAACTTCCTCTTCCCGTCTCGCCTGCCAGTTCCCACCTCCTGTGGTACATGTTTCCTCCCAACCTGCCAGTTCCGGCCTTGGAAGTCCCATTCCGGCCTTGGATGTCACATCTCCCACGGTAAATTCTTCTTCTTGTCTCCGTACCTGCCAGTTCCGGCCTTGGAAGTCCCATGTCATGTGGTAAATTCGTCTCCCTTGGATGTCCCATCTCCTGCGGTAAATTCCTCTTCCCGTCTCCCTACCTGCCAGTTCCCACCTTAGATGTCCCATCTCCTGTGGTAAAATTCCTCTTCCCGTCTCCCTGCCTGCCAGTTCCCACCTTGGATGTCCCATCTCCTGTTGTTCCCTACCTGCCAGTTCCGCCTGCCAGTTCCCATCTTGGATGTCCCACCTCCTCATCTTGGATGTCCCATCTCCTGCGGTAAATTCCTCTTCCCATCTCCCTACCTGCCAGTTCCCACCGTCCCATCTCCTGCGGTAAATTCCTCTTCCCATCTCCCTACCTGCCAGTTCCCACCTTGGATGTCCCATCTCCTGCGGTAAAGTCCCATGTCATGTGTAAATTGGCTCACTTGTTCCCATGTCATCTGTCAAAAAAATGGAAAAATGCCTGCCCGTTAAGCCGGCGCATAACTCCCATGTCATCTGTAAAAAAAATGGAGCAAGAAAAAGAGGGAACATGTGCTCTTTGGTTGTTTGTAAGTCCCAAGTCATCTGCACCTGGGATATTTCCAATAGCAAAAATTAGTGGACCTCCGAAGTCAAGAACTTGTCCAAGTCATCTGCCCTTTTGTCAAAAGGGTATCTTTGAGTCCTATGTCATGTGCCTTGTGAGCGGTCGTTTTTGCACTTATCCGACCCTATGTCATCTGCCCCTAATATAGTATCTCTGTCACGGACTGCTACTTTAGCTACTTAAGTGTCTCTTGGCCTTGGAGAAGAAGGCATTCTGCATGCCAAGAACGCACTCTCCCCCAAAACCCAAAAACAACCAAGATTCCACCATACTCTTGGATTCAATCTTGGTTTTTAGTTCTTGGTACACACATGTAAGGGATAGATGGGAACATGATTCCAAAACCAAGATTCAGTTTAAGAGTCTGGTGGAATCTTGGTTCATGGTTTCTTGGTTTTGGGGGATGCCAGCCCATGCCAGCCGGTTGCACCATCCAACGGCAATTGGCTACACACGATGAGAGCGCAGCCCCTCGTATGCCAGAACGTGAACGCCAGAAGAGCGGCGACGACGCTGGAGATGACGATGAGGACGTCGAAATGGACAAAGATGAAATCGACCGGCTAGTTAAACAGTTAGAGAGTCCAAGAAGACAGCCGGGGAGGAGTCAGAGGACGATGTGGAAATGTCAGATACGAGGCCGAGCAGACCACAGACTGGATCAGGAAGTGGACGTGAACGATCAGCACCAGATCCCAAAGTGGCGTTCGGCAGCAACACAAAAGAACAACAAGAAGAAGAAGATGAAAGAGTCGCCCAGGAGCAAGAACGAGATGAAGAACAAAGAGAAGCCAGGATCAGGCTACCTCTCTGGACAACGAGGACGATTCAAGCATCCATCATCCATTGCATCGACACGGCCCAGAACGAGCACGCGATCGACAGCACGGCAAGAGCAATGGATGGCATGATCCTTACATATTTGAAGGACCGATATAAACTATTTCATGTCTGGACTTCAATGGCTTCGGCGCAGGCGTATTATGACCACGTGAAGAACATCAATCTTCTTCCTGAGTTTGATGGATACATTCCTTACGTCGACGAGGATGCCAATGGTGAGCTGAAGGAACCCACCGAGGAACAACTCAAGCAGTCGTTCAACATCCACGCGAAGAATGGCAAGCTTGGCGGCAGGGACCTGGAAGTTTACCTAAAGGGGGTCAAGGGCATTAAGGTTCTTTGTAAGATCATGAAGTACCTCGTCCAAACCGGAGTTACACCTCAACTCATCTATTCAAAAGTCGCAGACATCACTGATGGAGATGAAGAGCCGCAATTGGAAACCCGACGAGAGGCATCAGATTTCATCCGCAAGATCATCGCTGGAACATTTGCTGTTCGATCCTATGATTACTTTAGGGTCAACCCACCACGGCGAGATGATCACATCCACTTCGACCCCGTGGAGCTGGTGTGCGCAGTGACGGAGAGGGCACGTACATTTTCGGTTCTCGTGACGCTCAACAAGATTGGACTTGCACTTCCTCAACAACTTCAACGAGTATGCGAAGGCAAACTGAAAGCGGTCACGCAGAGTGCGGCACAGATGGAAGCGAGCTTCAAGTCGCTTGATCCCTCTGAAAGAGAGAATGTGCGAGAATATGTCCGAGCAGTCGCCGACGCCCAGAACACGGAGCAGGGAGCTACTTCAAGTACGAAAGACTCCAAGAAGAAGAAGAAGCGGCGTAAAGAGTGAGAAGTGCATGGTCTATGTCATGGAAGAGCATGCATGAGAGGACTCTGAGTGCCGGGCTAATTCATTTCTTACCTACGCACAAGGGGTGCGAAGATATCCCTGTGCGATGGTACAAATTTTCAACGAGTATAAACTGGGATAGGATATCTCAGTGGTGCGGCAAGAAATTTGATTAACACAGGGAATCGGAAAACTGTACGCATACCTGCGGCGGTGAGTACGTGAACCTGGAAGGTGCGCGGAACGCTGCACGCATATCTGCGGCAGCTAGTACTCAATCCTTCACAGATTTCTACAGATCCACAAATTAAAGCCGCACTGTACAGTTTATCAATTCAGAACTGGTGGTGATCTTCAATATCTAAGTCTGCCTAATTCGCTCTCGCGCATAAAATGTGCCGAACATGGGGGGTGTGTATCACATGCAGACCACAGCCCACCAGTCTTAAGGAGCATTCATAGGCAATTCATGTGGGCAGACGCGGGACGCCATCATCGCCCGCGGTCTGGCTCAAGACCAATCCGCTCCACGCTGACATGGAAAAGCCCGTGCTTCGTCGAGGGTCGTTCAGGGACAATCACTAGGGCGAGAACGCAAACTTTATCGAGCACAAGATCAATAACGAGGTCACAACCCGTTCACCATATATATATATATTAGTATATATTAGTATATATTAGTATATATTAGTATATATTAGTATATATTAGTATATATTAGTATATATTAGTATATTAGTATATATTAGTATATATATATATATATATATTAGTATATATATATATTAGTATAAATAAATAAATAAATCATAAATAAATAAATCAACATATATATATATATACATATATATATATATATATACATATATCCTGATGATGCAGTTCACGCCGGTATTGAGGCGGCTCGCCTTGGGCTTGGGCAGGGCTTGAACGCTTTTTAGAACACATATTATATTTAAAAAATGCAGAAATTGCGCCCCGCCATGTGTCCCATCTATGCATGTTTTCAAACCAAGGACCATTACGTATGGTTTTCCGACCCTTAAGAGACCTTGGCCCAGGCCTTTTTTTCCGCCGCCAAGCAGGTCCGTATATCGGTGATGTGGGTGGAAGGAGTTGAAGACCGGACAGTGCCTGACATATTTATGACAAATTTTCCACCACAGTAAATACGATTTTGACCCGTTGTATCATTATCTACAAGTGATAGGACTTCAACTTTGCTTTCAACATAATTATGTATATACGCTTCTTCAGATGCTACTTTAAGTGTTTATTAACATATGATCTGTTTCTGGTGCCCGTGGAGACTGGACAGAGGCTGCGCAGCAGCGCTTCGAGGCGTTGTTGGCGAAACCCACCTCGTCCAAGGGTCCTGCAGCGGCACTGGAGGACAAGAAGCCTTCATCATCGTCAGATTCCGATTCGTAATCGTCTTCATCGTCATCCAACAATGATGCTGCAAAGGAGCTGGAAGTTGCTGAAACCAATCTGAGTGAGATGAACGCAGAAACGAAAAAAACATGAGAGGATTTTGAAAGCATCTTCTCGGCCCTGTGCCACGCATCTGCTGAACTGGAGAAATTGAAAGAGCAGCTTGAGACGAAGGACGAGATCATTGCCCCCTGAACAATGAGAATGGCATCTTGCGTCGTCAGCTTATAAGGCCACCACGGCCAGGAGCACAATGTTGAAGGCGAAAATGATGTACCCATGACACCTGCGGCATCTGATGGCACTTGCCCTGGTACCTCGTCCTCGTCTTCTGAGGTGATGGGATCTGAATCCGAGTGAGTAGAAAGCGGTAGGCCCTCATAGGTGCAGTCGATGTTTTTGAACCTGGCAGCAACATAACGTCTGCATATCATATCTAGTGTGAGCCTGCCATTGCGCATCGCCAAAAAAGTCTTTGCCTTTCACGCTTGCATTCACTGGACTCGAACAGCTGACTGACAGAATCTTAGCTGTGCCATGACTTTTTCAGTTGCAGTGCATGTAGCTTTGCGCCATGGCCCCTTGTGAGTTTGGTCCCTGGTTTTGCAACCATGGATTTACCATTCAACATGACTAATTTGGTAATACTTCGCGCCCACCATCTGCAGTATCTGCTTGATTTTGCAAGGTTTTGTCTCAACTCGACCATCTGCTTTTCAGTCTGCTGGCTGTCATGGCACAACTCTTGGATGCATGTGCCAAAATATGGTGGGAGGGCTTGGACTCTGCGTGCTTTGGACTCTCCGACTTGCACCTTCAAGGGGGAGGAAACGATTGAAGAACCGTTATCTTTGTCCACTTTCATTGCTGGTGCCTGTCGCAAGGTCACTGGAATGGCTGCGATCACGGTCCTCTTTCATGTTCAGATGTCTGTGCCTGAGTGTGCTCCCTCAGTTTCATGGGAATTACATGTTCTACAATGATGCAAAATCCTTGCCATAAAGCATTCGTCTTCCGTGTGCCTTACCTGATGGCTGCCGCATGGGCGTGGTTGCGCGCAACATGGAAGATGGCACATTGCAAGTCATCAAAATCAAAGTTCTTTACTTCTCGGACAAGATCCACCCAAAGGATGCATTGCAGTACTGCGCTGGCACTCCCTATGGCCTCGTCTCTCGTCCTGGTCCATGGGCAGTGAAGAAAGCTTTGGTGTCCTTGCTTGACAGGTTGCCTGGCTTCCACGTGTCTTGGTTTGCCCTTGGCAGTGGCAACGAAAAGTCCCGAAAGCTTATGCGGAGATCTCAATCTTCCCAGTGGCCTCCTGCTGATGAAGAACTGTGGGCTGGAATTCAGTACATCAATGAGAATGCACCTGAGTGTGACTCAGGGAACCAGCAATACTATTGGATCCTTTGCAACCTCAAAGAAGATGCTGGGACGCCAACGTCCGGATGGCCAGAAGCTAAGGTTCATATTATGGCCCAGAACAAGGCCAAAGGAATGGCTGGCGCACAATTGGAGACAGACTTCCCTTTGCACACCTACTCCTTGAAACCCTTCCTGGCGGAGAAGTGGCTGCCTCTTCTCTACCCGCTTCCTGAACTTCCATCATGTTCTTTGGGTGGCCCAGAGTTGAAAGGTAATCATCATGATGCTGGCCCTGGGTCGCTACCATGCCTCACGCCTTGGCCTCTCTAGCCCAGCTGGATGGAGCCGAGCAAAGTCGTTAGACAATTTTCGCCACATCGAGTGGGGCTGATTCATGAGGGTGTGTTCTTGGATGATCCCAGCCGTGACAAAATAGACTTGGCGGACCTCAAGTCCTTTGTGAGAGCAGAAGACACTCAAACCTGCCGCGGTCGTTGCAATGATGTCAAGCTTGCCAAAAAACTGTTGTAGAGCCTATGCTACCAATGACGTTCAAGAAGAAGATGAGCCCGAGGAGGACCAACGCCGCTGTATCACCATGGAAGAGTTCCTCACCCTACTACGTCGCACCTTTCCTGCTGACAAACCAGCTGACATACGCGCAAACTTGAAGAGAAGTGTTGCGTTCGTCTTCGGAAAGTTTGCCCTCTACATTCGCCTCCCAAGTCAACAAGAGAATGCTCCGATCCATCGCATCCAAATCCAAGACTTACACAGGGACCTCTTGGCCGATGGTGACACATGCTTCTATGGCAAGTTCAAAAGCGGCACCGTGGAAAAACCGCCTGACGTTTTTGCAGAAGCTGTGGAGAAGGAGCAGAGTATGATTCAGCAAAGCATGCAGGCGTACAGTGGCTTTGGCAAAGTACAGGAGTACGTGTCCCAAGTGAACGGCGAGATTGAAGATCTACTGCTTCATGAGACTCCTATTCCTGAGAAAGCTTGGTTGCCTTCATCTCCCGAAGCGCTCCCCTCCTCCACGCAAGAGAGCCAGAGGAAAGACATTTGCATCGGTTGCATCTACACCTCCACAGTCACCTCTAGTCCCTTGGCAGCCTGAGGAGAAAGAAGTTGTTGAGAACTCGGCGGCTGCACCTACGCCTTCAGATTCGCATCGACCCTCTTCGCAGCCTGAGGAGCAAGCTGCAGTTGCTGACGATTTGGCGGCCGATGAAGAAGCTGCGGCGCATTTGCATGAGTGAGACTAGCTGTAGTTAGCATGCTCTGACCCAAGCTATCTGTAGAAAGTACCATGGCACCTTCGCTGTCTCGCAAAAATGCCTGCATGTTGTACCTCTTGGTGAATTGCTTTGCATGTGTCTGTGTCTTCTTACTTTTCTATGTAACTTTTCCATGACCACGCCATGTCTTGTTAAGCCAGGCACAACATTGCATGTATCCCTCAGTCTCCTTAATTTTGGGCTCATCACCAGTCCCTTCCAAAGCATACCCCGGTCAAAGATGAATTTGTGCACCACCGTAGCCAACGTATGCAGTGAAACCTTTCAGTCATACTGTCAAACGTTCTTTTCTTGTTGCCTTGCCTTTGTCATCTGTGAGTCCACATCTAAGACATGAAACATCTGTTGCTATGTCTGTGCTGTACTTCTGCAAGCGCTATCCTTTCAAATAAAAGATTGGAACATATTGTTACACTTGAGCTTTGTCCAAGGGGCCTGGCTGCCTTGCCTTTGCGGCGAAGAAGGGGAATTACGCAGGGTACAGAAGAGGCCTGCCACGGTGAAAACCAAGCAGTACAATAAAGTCCCTTATGTGCGTGGTCCTTGCGATCTACCTGCACGTGTTGTCAGGATGGAACGCAGTGCGTGGAAACGTTCTGTGCCTGAGCTTTTGTCTGCTTCCAATATTCAGATCGTGCAAATGCTGCAAGAAGATGGGCTTCTACCAGATTGGCACGGCAAGGTGTGCCCCCACTGTTGGAAAGGCAAACTTTCAAGCAAAACCAGACATGATATGCTGCAGTACCGATGCACAGCCAACAAATGTGGAAAGTTCGTGGTGCCTCACTACTTGCACCCGTTGTTCCAGGTCTCCTCCGGCTGCACTCACAAGCCCCTGCAGCTGCAAGCTGCTCTGCTCCTTCTTCGTCTCACTGGCGTCAAGACTGCAGCTGCCCGCCTTCTCTTTCACGTCGACCACAAGATGTATGAATCCTTGGGCAAATGCTTGGACGTGCCGCCAAAAACGTACGTGGAGCGAAAGAAGAAGATCGTCTTCGGCAACCGCCGCTCTTGGACTGATGCTGAAGCAGACGAATCAACCTTTGGTCGCAACATTCAGCCAAAGAAGGGCAAGAAATGTGTGCAGTGGGAACAATGGTCTGGCCTTGTGCAGAGAGGGAAGCCCAAGACATTGGTATTGAGCAGTGTGAGCCCACCGCTGACTGTGAAAAGAGCTCCTGGGCCAGGTGCGATCCGCAAAGTCGACCGGAAACCTTTGGCAGTCAAACACCTGCAGGATCGCAAGATTGTCTTGCACAGCGACTCCGCCAAAAGCTACAAGCTCAAGCTCTCCGGTATGGTTCATGATGCCGTCGTCCATTGCAAAAAGCGTGTCAAGGTCAAGGGGAAGTACCAGTGGCTGAAGCCCAAGTACACGCATGTCGTCAAGCACAAACTTCCTGATGGCAGACAGCTTTCTGTAAATGCTGGCACTCAGCACATCGACTGTGCATGGCGGTACTTAAAGGATAGACTTCCTCTGAACCACTCCATGCTTTCCCTTCCATCGCCCTGCGCGCCAAGATCCGAAGGGCTCAATACGAGTATTGGCACCGCGGTGACGATCTGTGGCTTGAAACGGGCAAGCTTGTAAAGCAAGCCGTGAATGTGTACAGTCACAAACAGCCTTGAGATGCAGTGTGAAAGTTATTGCGTTGGTCCGGTGCCTCCTGCATGTCAAAGTCATCTATCTCATCAAATTCATCATCTCATACCACATCCTCTGGCAACTCTTGTCCATGCCTCTTGCCTTCCAAAACCATCTCAGCAAATTCATCACCTGGTTCTCATCCACATCTGTTCAAATCACCGTTCTTGGGGGGGTGTAGCATATATATATATATTTTTATATTTATTCATGTATTTTTTTATTTATTGATTAATTTATGTATTAAATTTATTTAATATATATCTATTTTATTTATATATATATATATATATAATATAGTGGTCATGGATGACCTGCTTTGTTTCCAGGTCTTGGCCACGGCACCGCAGCGTCGCAGGTGGCGGTTTCCGCTGGTCGTCTCCGGAGACCCTGCGATCCATTTTGGGGACCTTCGCCCACAAGACGCCCAAGCAGGGTGGACGCCCGGCAACGTGGTGACCAGTAGAAGTCGACTAGCTGGACCCTATAAATAGTTTTTCCCCCAAAAATGGGTAGTTAAACATATAGGCAAAGACAACAAAAATGCAAAAAATATAGGTGAAATGGTAAACATAGACACAAACACGAAGCAAAAACACCAAAAAAACGGTAATTTAAACATACAGGTAAAGAACAATGGGTAAACTATATAGGTAAAATGGTAAACATATAGTATTGACACTTAATTATGGTGCAAGACATGTTTGTTCACATGGGATTTTGGTAAATATCGACCATATATCGATCATAAAACCTAGCCCTTGGGATTCAGTGGGATTATAACATGTAGACCAAGTTGGCGAACTCTGCAACAGCTTGTAACCATCAACGGTTGTTTTTATCGATCAGGACCCATTTTGGCCTTTGCGAATCGATTCGTGCGGAAGCATGACTGGATTTGTGGCTCGCCTAATCAACGGCTTCAGGTTGTAGCGGGTGTGGATATATATGGAGATTTCCTAAAATGGTGGTACCCCGAAACTATCCAAAATTAGACCCTTTTTGTATTGAAACCTTTGGTACTGGGGATCCACCACTGTAAGAAAACCACCATTTGGGCAAATTTGGGTAGACAAAGATCATCCATGTTTTTTCTTTTGATTGGCATGGGATTTAAATGGCCTCCAATGACCTACAAGAACTTGGAGCTGGAAAATGTTGACCACAAGGTACTTTCATGGAATTTTGCAATGCCAAGATGCCATGTTGGTTCGCCAGAGAGTACAATATTTCAAAGGTTCGGGAATTCTGATACATTTAATATTAGACTTGTGTCAATATTCAATTTGAGGAATTGTTGTAAAATCTTCAAAGCCAAAAAAGTCGCATGGGGGTTCACAATCATCAGCTCCAATTGGGGCGCTAGCATCCAATGGTTTGGTTCTGAATCATCCATGGTTGACTTACTGGTGCTAAACGTAGGGAATGGATGGGAATGGGGGTTGCTGTGATTATGAATAGTTATTGTGGATGATTCTCTCATTCCTACGTTTAGCACCAGTCAGTTGAAGAATGGGTTTGTTCTGCCTTGTGTATTGGTGCCCTAAAGAAATTTTCCGAAGGTGATGCGCTTAGCTCTGCCGGCTGGCGCGGCTTCATTTTCGGAGGCCGCGGAGGCCCCCCTGTTAACATCCCAAATCCAGCTTCCTTTGCAAAATACCATAATTGGTTGGTGGTTTGGAACATGAATTTTATTTTTCCATATATTGGGAATAATAATCCCAACTGACTTTCATATTTTTCAGAGGGGTAGGTCAACCACCAACCAGATAAAGTTTCCATTGTCTCCCGAAGATATGACTAGAATTGACCGGGAATGGTATGTACCACTATAACCACTATAACCCCCTGGAGGTTTGCACCCCGCTCATTTCACATACCTATGGACAATCACCATAATTAATTGTAAAAAATCGAACTAAAGGGGCCATATGGGGCCATCAAAAAAACAGAACTGTTGAAGTACCAGCGGGTTTTTCCATATGGCTGTGTCTTTTTTTAACGTGTGCAGATTTTAGTAAAGGCAGGATGTTCGAGTTGTGCATCATACCCCCGAATCATACCCCAAAAAAATCACGATTATGAATGGGGGTTGCATTGGCCTCACTAGTTTTAATGGACCTGACAAGCTAGTTTACCAGTGTTGGCCAGATCCGATGATCCCTGGCTACCTTCACATACCTACATGAGTGGTGAATCTTCTCCACGCGCGCGGAGTCTCATCATTATCCCTAAGCTGGCTGGCTCTGGCTGGCTGGCTGGCTGGCTGGCTGGCTAGTGGCGGCTGGTTGGCTGCTGGTTGGGTGGCTGGCTATAGGGCTGGCTAGTTGCGGCTGGCTAGTTGCGGCTGGCTGGCCGCGTGGCTGGCTACTTGCTGTGTTGTCTGATGAAGCTGATGAGGGTGATGAGGAGGAGGATGACTCCGGCTGTGGCTGGCTGGCTGGCTGGCTGGCCACCAGACCAAAAATCCGTCGAAGAGGAACATTGGCCTAAGCGTAGCTGAGCTAAAAGGTACATGAGAAGAACATCCAGAAGAGACGCCAGCAGGCCGGCGGATAAAAATCATAGATGTGCATTTAGATCTCCATATTCTTCATATTCAGGTCCTGTCCAAGGTCGTCTGGTAGGTTGACGGTGGGAAAAAAAGACTCAAGCAACAAAGCTTCCTGAAATGAAAAAAATAGGTTTCCGAATCATACCCCGAATCATGCCCGAATCATACACGAATCATACCTCAAACTTCCCAATTCTGGACCTTGGTGCATGTGCAAGATCAGATCAGAACTTGTGTTTTGTGAGCATAAAGCTTTTCTTTGCAACCATTCGCCACGGGCTACACTACGCCTCCTGCTGCTTCTGAGAAAAATCCGACAACAGCACCCTGCAACGGCATCCTGCAATGGCACCAACATGCCAACTCCAAAGCACACACGCCACTTAACTGCAGCACCTTCAAGCAGCACCCTGCAGCGGCACCACCGGCCAGCTCCAGAGCCAACACGCCACTCTAACAGCTGCACCCTGCAGCGTGCAGCAGCACCCTTCACTAGCACCCTTGCAGCACGAGTTGGGTACAGTACGTACCCTCCTTGCAGCACCTTCAAGCATCACCCTTGCAGCAGCACCAGCAGGCTAGCTCGACAGCACCCTCAAGCAGCACCTTCCACCGGCATCCGCTCACCAGCATTCCCGCTCCAAAGCATGGTTTAAAGCACACACACCACTCTGACAGCAGCACCTTCAAACATCACCCTCAGGCAGCACCTGCAGCAGCACCCTGAGCGCCACCAGCATCGCTCCAAATTGCACACACCACTCTGACAGCAAGCAACACCCTGCACCAGCACCTTGCAGCAGCACTCCAACGGCACCACCATGCCCGCTCCAAAGCGCACACACCACTCTGACAGCAGCACGCACAGCGGCAACAGCATGCCAGCTCCAAAGCGCTCCACGTATGGTATAATTACCAGCATTTGAAACATTTTGGAGGTAAGTGTGGGTAAATAACCATACGTGGAAGACGCAAGCAAACACTAAATCAAGGTCCGCGAATCATACCCACGAATCATACCCCGAATCATACCCACGAATCATACCCCCTAGACAAACATCCCAGACTGCATGCGGCAGTTTGAGACATACCCATATATGAAGTCATGTTTCACGTGGCTTAGGAAAACCATTTTCGGCATGCCAAGGTGGCTTTCTTGGCTTCACCACTTTGCTCTTTGAATGTCTTCTGGCCCCCTTGATGGCCTTCTTTCTGCCACCACAATGGCGTCTGATCACTGTGGGACTTGGCATGGTGCTGTTCCTTGGACATAAGAAAATGAGTTCAGTGACTTGGGATTTATTATATGTATAGGATTGTTAACAAAAAACGCAAAACTTGTAAATACGGTGTGAACAGGTTGGTGAACATCAAGAAGTAGCAGCTGCTTGTAAATGAATGTTCACCATATATACATATATATACAAGAAAATTGTTTTTTGTAGGGTATTTGACATTGGCCATTGGCCAGCCTTTGTTGATGGGTAAAGTTCATATCCATCAAACAGATGGTTCTCTTATGTTTTCTTTCTGATGATTTTCTGTGTTGTATGGTGGTCCTAACGTATAGATGCAGCTGTATTTCAACGCTGGACTTGTCTATTTTTTCTGTTTGGTTTGGAACGTTTTATATGTATTTTCCAGATATTGGGAAAAATCATCCCAACTGACTTTCATATTTTTCAAAGGAGTTGAAACCACCAACCAGTTTTTCATTTACTTGTTTTCCGTGTAGTTTGCACAATATTGGGACCGTGATAGAACAGGATATCTATGGGCTCTGAGCCAAATCAATGAGTTATACCCTCTGGTAAACGTTTACGTAGCTATTGAAAATGGCCATTTATAGTTGATTTACCCATTAAAAGTGGTGATTTTCCATAGTTGTGTTAAGTTTACCAGAGGGTAATGAGTACACAACCTTTTTAAAGGACGCAACATTGAACATGGATCGCTGTGTGATTATGGTCAAAACTTCATAAATTGATCGGTGTGTGCTTTTTGACCATGAAACAAACATCATCAACTCGTTAACAAATGTGATTCCCTTGGCCTGGAAGAAAACAGTACCATGACTCGCCTGTCCAGGTGCCCGGATGCGCATCAACTGCCAATCCCTCATTTTAGACATTTGTTTGGAGTATCTCACCATATTTCACCCCTAAAATCCATGGATTTTAGACATTTGAAACCAAGTCATTGGGATATCACAAAAAACGCTCGGACGTTTCTCAGGTTGCACCTGGGAATTGGTGCGTTGCAAAGTGGTGCCATTGGTGCCTTCTTTCTTCCCAATCTGGCGGCCTATGTCGTTGGTTTTGGTGACTTCAGAGATGGAAACGAGCCTTTGAAGAAAGATGAAAAAAAGACAGCACCACGGGTGTATACTTGGGTTCTGTTTGACAGTTGAACGAATCCAGTATGGAGATATGTCCTCTTGCCGCCTTTTTATTTGTGAGGTGGCTCAACTATTCTATATACAATTGGATTTTGGATTCTTGAGAGATAAGGTTGGTAGACGCCACATATGCCACTTACTTGTTGACTTGTGGAAGGCCAACGCTTCAGGCTGCTTTCCACGTGTGCTCTTGTCCAAACCTGTGAGATATGGATATATACAGTATACATGAATGTACCCCAAACTGGCCAATTTGAATTGTTTAAAGAAAGAAAAACATGTACAGGCTATTATTGGGGATGCTTTCACTCCATGGATTTTTTTTAATCTGGAGAATTTCCAACGAACCTCCGAACCTCGACCTGAGGTTGTGATGGCAAATCTGTGGATTATCTATGACCCATCCTGTGAGACATCCAATAAGTATTGTTGGTTATCAGTTACCCTCTGGTAATTTGTTAACAGAAAGCTATTGAAAATCACCCTAGAAATAGTGCATTTTCCCATGAAAAATGGTGGATCTTTCCATAGTTATGTTAAATTACCAGATGTTATCACACCAATTAACTATCTCATTGATAACCCCTAAACAGATAGACTAAATAGACCAGTAAAATCCTGCTAACAATGAGTAACAAATTGCGACTACTGTATATGTATTTGCTTGGAGGTTGCCCAAATTGCAGGGTTTGTTCCAGATACCCTCCGGTAAGCAAACATGGCAATGGAACACATCTCCGATTTATTCTTAATTTTACCAGCATTTACCAGCTATAAACCTACATTTACAGCGGATTTCCAATTGCCATGTTTGACTACCAGAGGGTATGTTCCCTCCATTTATGGCTTTTTCAATGGGAAACTGATAGATTTCCGGCCTCCCTGTGGGTTCGGGGCCTGCGGTGCGCGTAGCCTGCTCCGAGTCACGGTGGGTCATGAGGGGGCGCATGGGTATACATTAGGTCAGGTGACATAGATGTGTGTAGATGTATGATGTATATCAAGTAATGTACAGTGCACATGTTCTGTTTGCCTATATATATATATGAATGATATATACATGTAAGTAATTTATGCTATATTGACAGATGAATCCTAAACATATTTTCATAAATGAGGAGAATTCAATGCCTTGAGCATGCAGCATCAGGATCTGCGATGCTTCTCTCTCAGTTGGTGCCTAGCCTTCGGTATTTGCTCCTCTGCTCAATGTCAACTTCCAAAAATTCGGGGGACAGAGTGACTTGATCAATAACATACCGCAACAATAGGGATAATCAGGGGAGATGAGGTGAAATGAGTTGAATGATGGTGAATGGACTTTGGTAATGCCTTTGTTTACCCTCTGGTAAACTAACAAAAATGGGAAAACTCTATTTCTATGGCCATGTTCAATAGCAAACTGCTCGCTGCCCAACATATGACACGGTGGTCGCCCAGCTGCGAAGGGGCCCGTGATTTGGGCATGGGCACAAACAGAAACAGCCAGATGTTCGCAGGGTTTTGAACAACTGTTGCTTGTTGGTTGTTGATGGTTGGTTTCAGGTGTTGTTGATGTTGATTGTTGCTGATTGTTGATTGATTGTTGTTGATTGTTGGTGATTGATGTTGATTGTTGTTGATTTTTGGTTGATTTTTGATTGATTGATTGATTGATTGATTGACTGATTGACTGATTGACTGATTGATTTGATTGATTGATTGATTGATTGATTGATTGTTGATCGATTGTTGATGTTGATTGTTGTTGATTGTTGGTTGATTGCTGTTGATTTTTGTTGATTGTTGGTTGATTGATGTTGATTGATGTTGATTGTTGTTAATTGTTGATTGATTGTTGTTTTTATGTTGATTGTTGTTGATTGTTGATTGATTGTTGATCGATTGTTGTTGATTGTTGTTGATTGTTGCTGTTGCTGTTGTTTTTGTTGTTGTTGTTGCCGTTGTTGGTGTTGATTGTTGCTGATTGTTGGTTGATTGTTGATTGATGTTGATTGTTGTTGATTTTTGATTCATTGTTGTTGATGATGTTGATTGTTCTTGATTGTTGTTGATTGTTGTTGATTGTTGTTGTTTATGGTGATGTTGATTGTTGTTGATTGATTTTGATTGTTGTTGATTTTTGGTTGATTGTTGATTGTTGTTGTTGTTGTTGATGATGATGATGATGATGTTGTGTGTTGTTGATTGTTGTTGATTGTTGTTGATTGTTGTTGATTGTTGTTGATTGTTGATTGTTGTTGTTGATGTTGATTGTTGATGATATTTGATTGATTGTTGTTTTTGATTGTTGTTGATTGTTGAACGATTGTTGTTGATTATGTTGATTGTTGTTGATTGTTGATTGATTGATGTTGATTGTTGATTGATTGTTGCTGATTGATGTTGATTGTTGTTGATTTTTGGTTGATTGTTGTTGATTGTTGTTGATTGTTTTTGTTGATGGTCATTGTTGCTGATTGTTGATTGGTTGTTGTTGTTGATGTTGATTGTTGCTGATTGTTGATTATTGTTTTTGATGTTTATTGTTTGTGATTGTTGATTGATTGTTGTTTTTGATTGTTGATTATTGTTGATTGTTGTTGATTATGTTGATTGTTGTTGATTGTTGATTGATTGTTGATTGATTGTTGTTGATGTTGATTGTTGGTGATTGTTGATTGATTGTTGTTGGTTGTTGTTGATTGTTGTTGATTGTTGTTGATTGTTGTTGATTGTTGTTGATTGTTGTTGATTGTTGTTGATTGTTGTTGATTGTCGTTGTTGGTGTTGTTGTTGTTGTTGATTGTTGTTGATTGTTGATTGATTGTTGCTGATTGATGTTGATTGTTGCTGATTGTTGATTGATTGTTGTTGATTGTTGTTGATTGATGTTGGTTGCTGTTGATTTTTGGTTGATTGTTGATTTTTGATTGATTGATTGATTGGTTGATTGATTGACTGATTGACTGATTGATTGATTGATTGATTGATTTGATTGATTGATTGGTTGATTGATTGATTGATTGATTGTTGTTGTTGGTTGTTTGTTGGTTGTTGGTTGTTGTTTGTTGGTTGTTGTTTGTTGGTTGTTGTTTCTTGTGTGTTGTTGTTTGTTGTTGTTTGTTGTTGTTTGTTGTTGTTTGTTGTTGTTGCTGTTGTTGTTGTGGTGGTGGTGTTCATTTTTTTTAGTTGTGTTCATTTGTTTGTGTTGTAGTTGTTTTCAGTTGTTTTCAGTTTCAGCCGCCTAAACCAAGGTTTCTTGCCTTTGTCTCTAGCTGCTATGAGAAAGTCCTCTCTGATTAAAGAAGACTGGCCCTGGACTCCCTTTGCCCTTTTTCCTTGGAGTGACCTGGCGAGACAGGCGAGACAGGCTCCCCTTGGTGTGTTTTCGGGCTGAAGATGTGATCATTCTAGAAGGCTTGACTGTCCATTTAACTTGAATTGGTTTGTCTTAATAGCTGATGATTTTCCCAATAAAACCTCCATTTAGAATGGATTTTCCATAGCTATGTTGAATTACCAGAGGGTAGTATGGTTTCGTTGTATCTGTATCTGAACATCTGGGATTCCGTAAAAGGTAACCAAGAAGGTGCCAGTTGCAGAGAAGGAAACTGCCTAGTTGCCTAGATATTGAGTATGTTTCGCGAGAGCGAAGGAGCTAGGGGTATCCAGATTTCCAATTCAATGGGAACAAAAACCACGTGATGCACAAAGCATGGCACAATTTCACTTCCAACAAACCCTCCAAACTTATCCAAAGGTTTTTCTGTGTTTTTTTTCACAATTTGGAGACCAGTAAGTTTGAGTCTTTGCATGTCTTTCCCATTTGATGGTTTCAATGTCGCCACTTTCTCCTTGCAGCGAAATCGGTTCGGTTTTTATCCAGCAATTGCTTCCCCAACGGCGACAACATTGGCATAACCAGTTGTAACTAGATGAGCCTAGAAATTGGCGACGAAACCAAGAAAACAAAATGGTAAAAGTATGTAAAAGTACTAAAACGATGGAGCCGAAATTGGTAAAACAACGGTAACACACACTCTCTAAGGGTAGTTGGAGGGTCTAGGTACTTGCATAACTCAGTGCCTAATCCACTGCTACCACCCTTTGTGCATCATCCTGTCATCCTTTGGTATGATCCCTGCTATAACTAGTGCTCCCAGTACGGTCTCAGAGAGTGTTTGAAGCCCAAAAGCAATCCCCAAGTACAGTCTGAGAAGATGTTTGGATCGGGGTTTTTATATACTTATAAATAATCTACGTTTAAAACATATGCTCTTGGGTTTGGGCACTTTGTGGAAACGTCCTAAGCGCGCGGATAGGCGTGCAGGTAAGCGACCAGGTGAGCGCGCGAGTGCGCTGCTATGCATGTAGGTAAGTGAGCGCAGGTAGGTTCGGAGGTGGCATGGCGGGTGATGGAGGTATACTGTTACAATATGAAATCATATACTGTAGTTATAAGTATAATATAGCTATAATATACACACATATACACACAGTACGCATCAGATAATAAATCCCGTCCACATGGGATTGTTCTGCAGCTAGTCGTCGCCTGCCCAGGTAGTATCCACTAATATCCATTACCACTTTGATGTGTCTGAAATACAATATACCCCCAAAGTGGCATTTGTTTTTTTCCCGGAAAATGGTGATGAACATTGATTCACCATGATTTTTTGTTTCTCCCGTTTTCAGACAAACCCAATTCAGGCTCTCCAGTGGCTTCTCAGGTGGCTCGCAATGGAACTTCTTGCATGCGGCTTTCGTGGTGGGAGATACCCGGCTTGTGACCTGTCGGAAAAATGTACACATCATGAAGAGCTCACTGGCCGGAGTCACTGCAAGTGATGCAATACAATGAGATATCGCAAAATATAGTCTCCAATATCATTTAATGAAATAGTTTATACCGGAATAGAATTTGGCAGAATTTCATATAATCTGATTTAATCTAATGTGCAATAATCTGCCCTAATTTGCGAGTATTGTTGTTGATTTCTGATATATATATATAATATGGAAATGTATGTATATATATAAAATGTATATATTGATTACATGATATATTACAATATTATTAAATATCAAACATAAAGAGGCACACACACACATATATATATATATATACATATGATGATGAGATGAAATACAACACAATACAATTTCCTCCAGCAATAGGCGATTGGAGTTCTATGATTTACATTAAGAATTCCCATGACTGCCATGACTGCCATGGCCATGATAGGCGATATGAAGCCACATCCAAAAAAAACACCCAAGACTTCTGTCAAACATGTTCATACAATGCCCGTTTCATATACATCAGGCCGTTTGCTATGTAATTTTAAAGGATTATGTCAAAAGATCAAGTATTGTTAACATGATCGTTTGCCACATCATTTTGATAGGATACAGCAGGCTGGGAAACATCATTTACCAGTAACTGTATCATGTGCTCATGATTATTCAAACTACATTATTATATATTATAATACTGGTGCTCAGTCATAAGTTGGCAGGAAAAAAGACTGTCTTTATATATTTTCCAAACAATTGCTGAAATATGGTAAGCCCAGGAGCCTTCTAGAGCTGAGCGAGCGCCTTTTTTGTGTTCAGGAAACGGTTGGTGTGTCGGAGTGAGATAATTTTCAGACAAGATCTGAGGCTTCAAAGGCTGTGTGTTTTGTTTTAGTGCCTGTTTGTTTTGGAAGTCTGTGAATTGAAACGATCGATGAGAGATGTGTGATCAGCAGTTTACGACATCAAGTATGTTTTGTTTTTTAACAAACAAATGGATGAAATGCAGATAGATACAGTATATCGAGGGCGCATGAAAAGTGATGGTTTGCGACCGATGATTGTCTGGTAAGATGATGAAAATTTGTCAAACTGCAGGGCTTACACCAAGATGTATCATTGAGACCCATGTCAGCCTACGATTTTGTTGGAGAACTTGAGCCATGGAATTTCAGCTTCAAAAATCCAACATCGAAGTCGGGGTTCTTTTTTCTGGAGAACCCCGATTTATGGCGATTTATGGTCAGTTAGCCCATTAACCCAGACACATCACTGGTTTCTGCTTGTTTCATGTGGGATCTGTGAGTCATTAGTCGACTCAGGTAACTACATCTGCCAACGCGCCGCGCGTGCCATCCTTGGTGGGTGCCCGGGTGATTCCCATAGAGCACCGATCTGATTTGCCGCTGATGCAGCGGTGTGTTGGCCCTCAAGAAGGACGGAAACCTGGACTGCAAGATGTGGGTAAACTGGGTAAACTGAGATAGCCATGATAGCCATGAGCATCTGTTTAAGAGGTAAATTTGGTAAATCATCTGACACCCCGTCATGTCCCTTTCTGCGATGTTAAAGTGCCAGGAAGTAAACCAAATGAAACGGAAACGTCATTTAAAATTTCGTCCAGGATAAAAACACCATTCTTCCAATGAAGAGAAACACGTTTTTTTTTAGACGGACAGACGGGTTGATTTGTTTACAATGCACCCGTTGTGTGTGAAGAATGCACTTCATTGACATGACCAACATTTTCGGCGAGTGAAGTATTTAGTGTGTTGACTCAGTTCCTCATTTATATGATCAGTGTGATGGGTGAAATGAGTTGGAATGTGTAGTAGTTGGTCTGCCAATGTTTGTTGCAGTAAGTCAAGTAGTTGGTTGAATCATGAGTTTGTTGGTTTGTTTGCTCTTCATGAAACTAGTGTTAATGATCAAATGAGCCACGTTCTAAACCCTTGTGTTCATGTTAAGCAAGGGGCATCTCCTTATTTGGTGCCAGGATGTAAGACATTTAGAACATGGCTCAAATGTCACACATGCCACGGTGAAGTTACATGATTCTCCCCCAAGGGATGGTCCTGTCGGCATGACCATACCCCCATACCCCCATACCCCCATACCCCCATACCCCATGTAACTTGATAACTTCGCACACATGCCCTGCGGTTACCCAAACAATCTTAAACCTGGCAATGAAATTCAATGAAACATCAGCCGTTTACTTCAATGATTTTCTCACCTCTGCTGGTAGCGGCCCTTTTTTTCAATGGCCATGTGTCATGACACCGGGGCGACCGGGGAGATGGTGCCGAAAAACGAGAGGAGAAACGCTGGTGCTGTATGATTTGTGGAGCCGTACCTTGGGAATCACCACCTACCAGGCGCCCCGAGAAAAGGGACGATTTTTTTTGAGGTCATGACAGCTGATCACAAAAAACAAGCGATTTCGTCATTCCAGGGGAAGATAACCAATGGAATTTGGATGGTTCCTAACTGGTTGGTGGTTTGGAACATGAATTTTATTTTTCCATTCAGTTGGGAATGTCATCATCCCAACTGACTTTCACTCCATATTTTTCAGAGGGGTAGGTTCAAACCACCAACCAGCTATTTATATGTTTTTACATACCAATTTGATCATCCTGGGCGGATTAAGTTTTTCAATCCAGATCTTTGCCTTTGGAGAATGGCTATGGCTCTGGCTCACCCATGCTGAGGATGAAGTGATGTTGTACCTGAAGTCTGCATTGAACGAGCACAATGAGTCGGAGGTTGCCTGGCTCTGGGCGTTTTTACCGGGTAAATCGACTGATGCTTGGTGAATGGGCGAATGTTAAGTCACAAAATGACATAAATCAGGGATTCTCACATTCATTTCTTCACTTTGGGGTGACGTTAAATTTACCTAAACTTCTTTAACACGACTTATCCCATGGAAATACAGCGAAAAACCTGGAAAGTTTGATTGTGCCACAAGTTGGAGTTTATGTGGACCAGCTGACTCGGGCTGTTTTTTTTCTGGGCCGAATGCGAGGTGAAATCGCTGGGTGAAATTTGTTGTGTCGTGATTTTCTTTTTTTCAGTTTCTTTTTTTGGGGTGCAAATATATAGATATATATTATACATAATTATAATATGTATATATACATAAATATATCTATCTATCTATCCATCCATCCATCCATCTATCTATCTATCTATCTATCTATCCATCTATCTATCTATCTATCTATCTATCTAAGGTTTGCAATGGCAAGTACGGTCCTTCCGCCTTTTCCCAAATACGCCGGCAGGAATTGGCCAGTCCTTTGCTTGGAACCGGCACTGGAAGATCTGAGAGCATTTCCAACTTGCCATGTGAAAAGATCTCTGGCCGCACCTTTATTGTGGGAGTGTGTGGAAGTGACCGCTTGGACGAACATGCCAGGGATCCCAAAAAAGCAACAGGTCAACAGCTGGTGATGTTTGCCTGTTTTTGTTTGTCACATGGCCAGCTCTTAGGGGAGGCTCGAAATTTGGGTGGGCCGAGGATTTTGGAATCCATCATTTATATGTATTCAATGTTTATTCATATGGACGGATTCATACGTGTTCAGTGTCATCATCATTCATCATCATTTATTATTAATCATCATCCAATACTAAATATACTATATACACTCTGCGGCCCTTTTCTGGATGTTCACTTCACTATGCCCATGGCAAAGTGGCGATGATAAGCTCGACCCACTGCAGGAAGTCTCAGGAAAACCGGCACCATGGGAAGCATCACGGGGAGACATTCCAGCCCGGTTAGATTACCCTCCGGCAAAAATGGGAATCACCAAGGCAATCGCTGACAAAAATACCACGACATTACTTGTAAAATGTCAGAAAGTACAATAACGTGCCATAATATTCCATCAAGTATCACAAGTATGATAAAATCTATAGGCACTTGTATCCTTATGATCTGTAGTTCCCTTGTGAATCTGTGCCACCGGCCGCTGTAATCTGCGATCCTTTCGGAAGCCAGGACTGCATGACATACTTCTTGGGGGTGCAGTTGGCAGATTCAACAAAGCTGGTCAATAATGGTTTACAATGGTTCACACTGGTCATTAATGGTTTATATATGTTTATATTGGTAATGGCTATTGATGCTTAATATAGGTATACGGTATAACCCCCATAACTATCTGAGAATTATGCGATGAATATGGGATACTATCGGAAAATCTGGGTTTCACCATGATGTTGAAACCCCCATAAGTTGGGAGATTTTTGGCCTCTGGCGGCCTCTGGTGAAATATCCAGACACTGAAACTGCACCCCCCAATTCCTCTATCCCAATTAGGAGGACTTTTGTTGGTTTGATTTATTTGATTTTGCGTATGGATTGATTCAATTGACATGCCATATATATATATATACTGTATATGTTACACAAAACTGACATAGGTGAGAGTATCACATGTAGAACTGACATAGGCACGAGAAACACTAATCCCTTATAAAACCAGAGGCGATAAAATATGAATATTTACGTTATCCTACATCTTTGGAATCAAAACTGAGAGAGCTTCTTCTCAACCTGTACTGGGCGAATCCGCCCTTCAGTAGCCATTTTTGCAGCCAAAGTGTAGTTTGGGATTCCCCAAAATGGCTTTGTCTCACAGTAGGCTACCCCTAAATCCCGTGGTGAATCACTATTTTACATATTTTTTCCTACAAAATGGCCAGATTTTATGGTGTAAAAGGATGTAAAAGGCCCATTTTCAGACACACCCGCCTCGGAATCCTTGGCTCAGGCGCATGAAAGAGATTCAGCAGTCGATCTGCCATCTCACGACCCAATTCTTGGTGGATACCCATCGCGTCCTCGAAGTTTCCAGCGGTTTGCCCTTGGAGCGCTGCTTCCTGGTGCGGGTGAACCAGACCAGTCATGTGGAAGAGGTCGTGATGGAGGGCGTACCCAGCCTGTGATGGTGAAGAAAAAGTTGCTGCGCCGCCGGGACAGGTCGACAATTGCATAATGGGCGAAGTATGACAAGGGTACTGGCTGATCAAACTCCATAAGATCCATAAATTCACGCTCAGGGTTTGAGGAATCAAGCAAACAATGTTTAACCTCCGAGGTTTGTGGGTTGCAAGATTTTGTCCAGAATTCACGTTTGGCTGACCCTGTCTTGTCAGAGCTGTATAGCGACATCAGCTCATACATGAAACTTTGTGGCTCATCCCAGTTAAAGCAAGGGGTTTGTAAGGTTATAAGCCCAGTTGCAACTGGACTAAGCCTAGTAACCCATAGTAACCCTACTTACTGGGGTTATAAATCCGACCTCTATGCTGGGATGAGCCACCAAGCATCGATCCACAGTTCCTGAAAGGTTTGAGACTCATACCTGGCAATTGAAAAAACCATATAAATGGAGATTTTAATGGGAAAATCTACTATATATACGTATATATATATATATATATATGACTTGGTGATTTTTTATGTCCACTTCTCCTCAGGCTACAGCAATTCTGAACATGTTTGAAGCACGCCTAAATAGCTTCAGCGTTGTTCAGTTTGGCTGTATTGAACGTCTGCGTGACATTTTGAGTGTGATCATGCCTGGAGTTCCAACCGTTGTTGTTTTATGGTGTCTTCCATCTGGGCGAATTCTACTGTGAAGTCCACAGTTTGTTTCAAAATTGCTTGCGATTCCGAGAATTCCCCACATCAAAACCATTCCCAGGACTTCCCAGGTACAACTACCCTCTGGTCATTGAAGATAGCTCTTGAACATTGCCATTTAAGTAGCTGATATATGTACAACATGATGGTTTTCCATAGCTATGTTACCAGAGGATAGCTATTGTTTTTTTGGGTATGTCCCTTACTTCAATCTGCTTGTTTCTTGTGGTTTTATTTGGGGATGGGTCAAAAGCCTGGTACCTAGTGAACCCCAAGTCATAGCTGGGTTAAAATGGATGTTCATCCCACTAAAAATGGTATTTTCATAGGTAATGATCCATAGCCATATATATATATGGTTTATATGTTATATACAGTATTTTTAGATATCGATTATGTCTTATATGATCTTATATATGGGTATTGATCCATACCCATTTAATTTTATTGTCCCGACTAAATCGCCGGAACTTGCCAGGCCACTACGTCATGGGCTGGCGCAAGTGGTCGGAGCAACGCTCGAGCTGGGTGGCCATCTACGAATTTCGGGTGCAGAACCGTGGGTGGTGAAGTGATTCGCTTAAGGTGACCGAAGTTTTTGCTGATATCTCAGGCAACATGTTTTAAAGCGGACATCTATATTTCTATATATACTGTATACGATATTGTACAATATTATACAATATTATACAATATTATACAATATTATACAATATTATACAATATTATACATATATTATACATATATACAGCCTATAATTTATATAGAAACTAAGCTTGGTCATCAATTCCAAGACATCTGTGATAGTACAACACTACCTTCGAACTAGGATGGAAACCATGAACCGTTTTGACTGCTATCTATTCAATCATAGTCACCAGTCCATTATCCACTGAACCAGCAGTGCCGCTAGTTCAAACAAGGAACCGAAATGAACCAAGATGAACCAAGAACATACCCGTCGGTAGTCAATCGTGGCAATGGGAATTTACCATTAATCACCCATATTCGAAGCAAGATGTGTCAGATTTTGATTATGGGGTCGTTCAAAGATCATGCCATACATCACCAGGGGGTCCGAGACAGGGCGCGACTTGGAGGAAAACGGTGTCAGAGGCTCAGACCAGGACAACTTCACCAAGCAACTATAGGATCTAAAGCGCAGGGCGAGCCCTGGAGTTATGATAGGGGATGCAATTGACTGGCTCCACAATTCAACATCTGTAGATGTTCAACTACATCTATAACATTCTATAACCATTCTGTAGTAATGACTGGTAATGTTGGATCCTGATTAGTGTGTTCCCCCAAAAAACAATACCTATACTCTCTTTAAAGTTGTGTGCCAAAAACATGTTCCCCAGGAAAAATCTGCACTTAATTAAGTAAGGATTTCAATTGGCTACAATTGAAATCTAATTAAAACTTGTTTCTTGCCGATGAACTTGTGATATGTGTAGTACTTTTAGTACTTTTAGTCCTTGTAGTACTTGTAGTACCTTGTAGTGAGTGGGGTTCAGCATGTTGATTGCGTTCCCTTTTCCACCTTAAGTTGTTTATTCAAAGTGTAATAAGAGAAAGAAAAAGAGAAAGAGAAAGAGAAAGGACAGGGAGAACGAGAAAGAGAGAGAGAGAGAGAGGAAGAGGAAGAGGAAGAGGAAGAGGAAGAGGAAGAGGACGAGGAAGAGGAGGCAGAGGAAGAGGAAGAGGAAGAGGAAGAGGAAGAGGAAGATGAAGAGAGACAGGAAGAGGAACAGGAAGAGGAAGAGGAACAGGAAGAGGAAGAGGAAGAGCAACAGAGAGAGAGAGAGAGAGAGGAAGGGGAAGAGGAAGATAAAGAGAAAGACAGTTGTAACAGGTTTTTCTTTCTTCTCTTATTGGCTCCAGGATCAGCTCTGGAAAAGCTTGCTGCGATTGTGAACCCTGAGAACAAACCTACTAAAGTGAACTGGACCCTCTCATGGCCCAGTGCCTTGGAAATGTTTGGAAAAGCTGTTCTTTAATAAGGGTTTAATAAGCGGTCTGATTCTTTTGGGACAGGGAGACAAGCACATTTTTTCAGGAAAAAACACATATGTTCTTTTTACATTAACATTTTTTTGGACAAAAAGCATTGGCCTCCCAAGATTTCTTGCCACAATAGAGAACCTGCCAAACAATGCATGGGTTCAGAATAATTTGTGTTTTTTTTGGCACAATAGCGAACCTAGCTACTAATCAGGAGCAAACACTATGAACGTCCTATAATTTATGTGGTGGATAATGAACAGCCAAATAATCTGTGTGTTTCTTGACACCTTCACATAAGCCGGTAGCCGAGGACTGAGTCGGAAGCTCCTCGCAGGGAATCTCAGTCAACGTGTGAGAGATTGGATTTTTCTTGCCAGATTTCTGGCTCTGAAAATGGGGTATAGTATGGTATAGTATAATCCCTTTTGTGTGGTCCTTTTTTAAATGGGAACATTATGTAAACTGATCATGAACCATTTGATTTTGAGGCTCCGATCAGACAAACCCATATAGGATGGATGGGAGATGATGATGGGAAATGATGGATTCGTCTCTTCGGGACCTCGTAGGGTCCTTTTTTTTTTTGGCCATAGACCATTGATCCAATAAAAATGAGTCAAAGTACAACATTTGTTTTGATGTTTTTGGTTTATGTTTTTTTGATCTTTTTTGATGGATACTTTTTTGGGGGTCTCGGTCTTGGTATCCCCATGACATTCCCTCGCATCCAACTTGGTAGGCACTGACAAGCACGTGGATCCCCTGGTCATTGAATATCAGGCCAAGCAGAAGCCAAAAAATATGGCCGGGGCAGGAGTATGGATTGATGGGACAGCGAGAAATGGTTTACTGAAAGAATTCCTCCATTTCATCCAAAATTAGTTCTGACTTGATTTTCATGCATGTAAAAAACCTAGCGGGATTGATTTGCTGAACTGATGAGCTGGAGTATTCTATCATTGGTAAATTGGGCTCCCAGTTTGTAGCTTCCCGGCTAGTCAGTCGTATGCTCTCCTTTTTTTCATGGGATGTGCTTTAGTAGATGAGGACGGTGAACAATGCGTGTGAACCTGCGATGCTTTCGAGATGTTGTCAAAAATCAATGTGCTTGCGCTTTGCTGCATCAAAAACTCTTTTGTTGCAGCTGTTTGGGACCACATAAAGGTTGGACAGTGTTAAGGATTTTCCAGCGACCGCCGGCAAATGTCTGGAGTCATGTTGACACAACATGACACAACTTTTTGTTGACGCTAAGATATTTAGTAAATGATGTTGGCCGTGTGATGGTAGAACTCAGTTGGCTTAGACAGACCAGTGCCCTGCAGTGCAGGTGGGCTGTTGCCAGCGACCACATCCAGGTGCTCCGCACACCTCAACGTCTTTTGGTGGGATTCACCCAAATATGAATCACTCAAAAAACATCCAATATATAGCATTTTTGTGGGGATGGATGCCGTCCCGAAAAATTATGATTGTCTATTCCTGGGTGTACCACATGATTGGTTCTCCCCAAAAAACGTCCCCAAAAACGTCCCAGAAAATGTGAAAAGGATCTGCAATCTGCAAATTGCATCAAATGGCACGACTGTTGGTTGATGATTATAAAGGATTATACTACCCAATATATATATACATATATATATATAGAGGGGATTATAATGATCCAAGAACGGGGGAATCCCGTTCTTAACCAACCAGGATTAAATGGAATAGCAGAGGGGGTTTGAACACTGCTCATGTGTCAGACTGCCAAGCCAGGCTTCAGTGATTCAGAAAGCGAGGCGGATGCAAATGCAGGTGCCTTGCCAATCAAAGCCGGGCCAGTGAAAAGCGACTTTCCCAGAATGGTTATATATATGGTTATATTATTATTAATGAATGATACTCAATGATATAGTTAATCAACATGACAATCAATGATAATTAATGGTATTTAATATGTATATATATATATATATTCTACGGACAGTGAATCAAGGATAATCAATGTATAGAACAATGTCAATTATATCATCAGGAACTTTGTCGCTCCTCGCGTCCGTGGGATCACCGCGAACTCTACGACTGCACCATGATATCCTCAAGGAAAACACAAAGGAATATCTCAAGAAATCTGCGCTTACATGTGCTTGATATATCTTGATATATTTTAATATACCTTAATATACCTTCATTGTATACTACAGCCCAGAAACATCGCCAACATCCCATGACAGACAGCACCTTGGATGGTGCAGTGAATGGAATGGCTAAGTTGGTGAACGGAGTGAACGGAGAGATCCTATGGTAGACATATCCTATAATTATGGTAGACATGTTACTATGGAATTATGGAAGATATACTCCAAAATTTACGGTATGCTAGTGTTTATGATAATATATGGTAGAGATCTTCTATAATTATCGATATTTACTGGATGTTACTGGCAGTTAAGAACCAACATATAAATGGGGTTGCAAGTGCACTCTTACATTTTGTGGAAAACAACCGGTCCCCAGCGTTCCTCCACTGTACTTGGAAAATCATAGATAGTTTTTTCATGTTTTTTTCGTTTGGTTGATGGAAAAGAAATGTAGGAATTTATGAAACAGTGATTGCTGGAGACCCTATATGCTTGCATGCTCCTCAAGCTACCTAGACCCTCTAAGATTACAGGGTAAAAATGTAAAAGACAATTTTAAAGGGTACTTGGAGGGTCTAGCTATGTACATTACTGTATGTTTTATTCATATTTCTTGAGAAATGAACAGGTGCCTCTGCAGGTATGTGTCCAAATTTCCAACATCATGCCGGAAAATGCCTGAAACCTCAGGCTTCTTGGGCGAGGAGGAAGAGGTCTGGAATCCAGTTGGGACGTGGAGAATATCATGATGAAGTCCATAACAGTCTTGAAATTGTGATTCTCATGGATGCTGCATGTGTCAGTGTTGTTGATAGATAACCAGCTACCTCTTCCAAATTGATGATTTCTGCAGTCAGATGAATTTCTGCTGTAGCTACCTTGCAGTTTGCTAAGTTTTGCAACGCTTCAAGCATCTACAATCATTTACATGTATGTGAATGTGACTATATAATACTATATATATGTATGTGTGTGTGATAACTAAGGCACGAATATGCGTACATAGATACTCAGCAAAAAGAAACACATGTGTCTATTCTACTGTATTCTATATATGTCGATATACGTATACGATTACATGCAGACACGCGGTCTCGGCACGGCGTCACTGCAGATAACCTGAGTCAGTTGCTTGATGTGCTTTCAAACGCTATGATGCGTATGCACAGATGCCAGCAGTGAACATTTGTACATTGTACAGGTGTTTTTGCAAAAGACATAACATGTTTTTTGTGTATTCATAGGTAGAGATTTTGTTTCAGATATAGATATAGACATGGATATACTTATACAAACATATATAAACGTGTAAATATATATACATATACATGCACATGTCCACACATTTAACATGTGTCTTAACATATGCATATACATACACACGCATATGCGCACGCACATATCTATAGATAGATATAATCATCGATATCATACGTACAGATATCCAGAGAAATCCATAGACTTCAGGTTTCAATCACGGGACGGCTTGAAACCAATGGGTCCAGAACCCGGGATTTATTCCACCATGATTTCACCATGGCACATGTATAGATATTATCTGATTATACGATATTATTTATAAGTCCATATAGCATCTACCCCTGTGTCATCAATCATAGCTTGCAGGACAAAAATCCTATTTACATGATGATTTTCTCATGAAAACATCCGTTTCCAGAGGGTTTTGGACCCATATTTAACGATGATTTTCCAATGGCTTTGGAGCGTTTTTCAGCGCCACCCAAAAGGATCACATGTTCTTCATGGCTCGAGTCTCTTAGCTGCAGCAGACATCTTGACACCAAAGGGCCCATAAGGGCGAGCTGCAAAAGCCCTGGTTGATGAGATTTGAGGGGAACTTTGCCAACCATCCATTCAGTTGGGAATGGAATGGAATAATCATCCCAAGTGACTTTCATTCACTCACTCCATGATTTTTCAGAGGGGTAGGTAGGTTGAAACCACCAACCAGCTATTTATTCTTAATCATTATTAACCATATAATAACCATTAGTATCAACCATATATTAACAGTAGATTACCAACCAATGGTAGGTTGAAACCACCAAGCAGATAATCATTATTGGGTTTTTTATCCTCAAGGCTTAACCATCAAACATTCAGGTAAAAACAAAAAAGGCGATCACATTGAAAAAAAACAACTGAACTCCTGAGAAATCATGGAGTTATAAGAACCAATGCGGATCATAATCCATTGCGTAAAATCCGTAACCAGCCAGATATCTTCAAGGGACGACATCTTGGGTTTTGAGCACTATTGAATTATCATTTAAAATGTGGGTCTGAGATCATTATAGGCGATCCCAAAGAAATCCAGAAAGAAAATACGTAAGATCTGCGATCCAGAAAGAAATCCTACACATTTATCATCTTTTACCCATACTGAGGGACGAGCGTGATGTTTGTTGTGAGACTTCGCAGGGACTCTACAGAATTCCAATGAGAATGATATCTCGTGGATCTCCGGAGAGGCTACTGCACACCCCATTCATATACATATATACACATATATATATACATAACGGATTCACAAGATACGGTTGCTGGATCCCACAGAATATAGACTACGTTCAATCTAGATATAGATCTGGATCTAGATAGATAGCTAGATCGTCAGATAAGGATTGATAAGGATAGACATTGATCAATGAAAAACGATAATGGAGAATGATGGACCATGATAGAAAGTTAGATAGATAGACAGATAGATGGATGGATAGATAGATAGATAGCTAGATAACTAGATAGCTAGATAGGGAGATAGGTAGGGAGCTAGATAGCTAAATAAATTGAAAGGTAGATAGACAGATAGACAGATAAACATACCCACAGACTGTCGGACGGACGGACGGAAAGACGGACGGAGGGATGGATGGATGGATAGATAGATAGACATATGCATACATACAAACATAAATAAACATATTTATAAATATGAGATTATATATGTAGGTAGAAAAACTGATAGATAATTGGATAGATGGAATGATGCATAGATGGATAGATGCATTGATTGATATATAGATACATAGATAGATAGACAGATTGATAGACAGATTGATAGGTAGGTTGGTAGGTAGGTAGATAGACAGACACATAGATAGATAGATAGAAAGATAGATAGAAAGATAGATAGATAGATAGATTAGATAGATTAGATAGATATGATAGATTAGATTCATTAGATTCATTAGATTCATTAGATTCATTAGATAGATAGATAGATAGATAGATAGAAAGATAGATAGATAGATAGATTAGATAGATAGATTAGATAGATTAGATAGATAGATAGATAGATAGATTGGATAGATTAGATAGATTAGATAGATTAGATAGATTAGATAGATTACATAGATTAGATAGATTAGATAGATTAGATAGACTAGATAGATTAGATAGATGAGATAGATGAGATAGATTAGATAGATTAGATAGATTAGATAGATTAGATAGATTAGATAGATTAGATAGATTAGATAGATTAGATAGATTAGATAGACTAGATAGATTAGATAGATGAGATAGATGAGATAGATTAGATAGATTAGATAGCTTAGATAGATTAGATAGATTAGATAGATTAGATTCATTAGATTCATTAGATTCATTAGATTCATTAGATAGATAGATAGATAGAAAGATAGATAGATAGATAGATTAGATAGATAGATTAGATAGATTAGATAGATCAGATAGATTAGATAGATTAGATAGATAGATTAGATAGATTAGATAGATAGATTAGATAGATTAGATAGATTAGATAGATTAGATAGATTAGATAGATTAGATAGATAGATAGATAGATTGATAGGTAGATAGACATATGCATACATACAAACATAAATAAACATATTTATAAATATAATATTATATATGTAGCTAGATAAGCTGATAGATAAATGGATATATGGAACGATGCATAGATGGATAGATGCACTGATTGATAGATAAATAGATAGACAGACAGATTGGTAGACAGATTGATAGGTAGGTTGGTAGGTAGGTAGATAGACAGACACATAGATTGATAGATAGATAGATAGATAGATCGATCGATCGATCGATCGATCGATTTTTTTCATAGATATGTAGGTAGATAGGTAGTTGGGTAGATAGGTAGATAGATAGATAGATAGGTAGATAGATAGATAGATAGATTAGATAGATAGGATAGATAGGATAGATGGGTAGATCGATTAGATAGATTAGATAGATTAGATAGATCAGATAGATTAGATAGATAGATAGATAGATTAGATAGATAGATAGATTAGATAGATTAGATAGATTAGATAGATTAGATAGATAGATAGATAAGATTAGATTAGATTAGATTAGATTAGATAGATAGATAGATAGATAGATTAGATTAGATTAGATTAGATTAGATTAGATAGATAGATAGATAGATAGATTAGATAGATAGATTAGATAGATAGATAGATTAGATAGATAGATAGATAGATAGATAGATAGGTAGATAGATAGATAGATAGATAGATTAGATAGATAGGATAGATAGGATAGATGGGTAGATCGATTAGATAGATTAGATAGATTAGATAGATAGATAGATAATTAGATAGATAGATAGATAGATGGATAGATAGATAGATAGGTAGATAGGTAGATAGATAGATAGATAGATTAGATAGATTGATAGATAGATAGATAGATTAGATTAGATTAGATTAGATTAGGTTAGATTAGATTAGATTAGATAGATAGATAGATAGATTAGATAGATAGATTAGATAGATAGATAGATAGATAGATAGATAGGATTAGATAGATAGATAGATAGATAGAGAGATAGATAGAGAGATAGATAGAGAGATATATAGAGAAATAGATAGAGATATATATAGAGAAATAGATAGATAGATAGAGAGATAGATAAATAGATAGATAGATAGATAGATAGACAGATAGAGAGATATGCAGGTAGATAACGGTAGATAGACAGACATATAGATAGATACGTAGGTAGATTCTGTAGGCAGGTAGACAGGATAGACTTATAGTTTGTTAGATATAATTTGAATAGATATGTAGGTATAGAGGCAGATAGACAGGATAGACATACAGAGACAGAGACAGAGATAGAGATAGAGATAGATAGATGACTAGATATATTTTTTACATAGATGGGTAGGTGGATATATATATATATATATATATTATAAGATTATATAAGGAACATGCAGACCAATACATAGGTAGATAGATAGATAAACTCAATATACACACGTTTCAAACTCTGAGATGGGAACCTGCTGCCATTTCTGTCCAGGATCTGAAATACCATCTACAGCTGACATCGGCGATTGTTGGTATGGCCAGGCATGGCAGATTTGACAAAGCTGGCTTTACTGGGGTTAACACATGATTCATGATGACTAATAATGATTCAACATGGCTGCTGGCTATTGTTAGTCATCAACAGTCATTAATGATAGTTACAGTAATGGTTATTAGTGCTTATTAAGGGTTATTAATGGTTTCACATGGGTAGAACCAAGGGACCTCAACTCCATAATTGAAAATGTTGGACCGCTGTACTTCTGCAAAATCCACTACTTACAGGTTTAGGAACTGCACTCCCAAGTACAGAGAGATGTCTTTAATACAGTTCACAGATCAATTTATTATCTATGCCTGTTTTACATGTTTTCCTGCTTTAGTTCCTGTACTGGATTGTTTTAGTTTCCATAATTTTCCATCTGATTTGTGTTTTCTTAATTTGCATCTCACTTGAACTTCTCAGAATAATCCATGAAGAATCTAGTGAAATCATGTTCAACAGTGTTTTTTGGAAAAACAGAACATGTTTTTTCCCGGTGAATCAGTCACACGGCGAGAAATCAGCGGAAAGTGTGAATCCAAGGGTCCCAGGGGCCGGGAAACCACGACCTGGTAAGCCCTAGACAGAGAAAAAAATGAGAAAAACATCCAACCATTTACGTTACGTGATGGTTAGATACAACCATATTACTCTATCATAATTTACGTTATATTACAACCATAATATGATAGCGTACGGATCCAAACACTTCCTACGGGGAAGTACTTAGATCCATAGGGATATACAGTATATGTCTATCAATTTCCAACAAAGAGAGTTTACGATTCCACAAAAAAACAACATGTCTCTACCACCATTTATGGTATGTGAAATCGTCAAATTTTAAGCGACGCTCGAGGCAGACAGATCTTTGTCGTTGCGTTGACGTCATCGGCAGGTCGAATGCGGAGTGTTTTCCATCACCCGGTAGGAGATAAGATATAATTATCTGGTTGGTGGTTTGGAACATGAATTTTAGTTTTCCTTATATTGGGAACAATCACCCCAACTGACTAATATTTTTCAGAGGGGTTGAAACCACCAACCAGTTATGTTCGGACAAGATTCTCTATGTGGATCGAAAACACACATTTATCCGATCGTAAATTTGCGTTTTCTTTTTGTTTAATACTTTTTCCGGGATATCATTCTGGATGATTCTTCATATATTTGTTTCCATGTCTGTTTTTGATGATTATGTTTAATGTGATATCCATGGGAAATCCAGCAAATGAACGGCTCGCTCCTGGTTTCTGGGGTGGGTGTATTCTAGACTATGGGGACTGACTGGACGATAGTTATTTTGAGTTTCCTGATCGAATCGGTATGTGTTACAACTGAACCAGGTTTCTGGTTTTGGGGGGGGTATCATACACAATGGAGAATTGATTGGTTCTGTCGAGAGACAACTTGTTATGTTTTCCGGGGGTTCAGGATTGCTGTAGTATTTTGATGTATTTTCTTTCACTATTCTGGTGGGGTTTCGGCACATCAAACGTGGTGATTGGACGCTAGGGACTGGTTTGTCCCAAAATCGGTAGTACCCAAAAATTCCATCCGCTGGAGAATCATATTTTCAATGGGAATTTCAGGATCCTAAAATGGTGGTACCTAGCATATATAAGGCCTATGTAAGGCCTATGTAAGGGAATATCCCCACAAAATATGGCCTTATATGGTACAGTACCTCGATTTTAGGATCCTGGAATTCCCAGTGATATTTGTTTCTGATATGGAGAATGGCCATTAATTAAAGTTGGGGATACTCAATAGCCATCAAACTATGCTTGCTGAATTCCCCTCATTTATCTAGTTGGATGTTTTTAATAATTATATAATATTATATAATATTATATATATATATGTTCCCATTCATTTTTCCTGTTTCTTTTCTTCCCCCGTCAATTTGCTTTACGCCTGGAACTCCCCCACATTGTCTTTGCTCAGCATATCCTAATCGAAGAAAGGAAAACTGGTGTCCTATTCGTTCAAGTCACCATTTTGGGGTATATTTTCTAGAGACACATTCCAGGACCTATTTCAAACTGGGATCAGAAGGTGGTAAGACAATCTGTGAAATGGCTTGGATGAAATTCCCATTTTTTTCCATAGGAAATTCCATTTTACAGATTGATTTGTCCATATTTCCCATAGTTCCCCATATTTTCCCATATAAATCTCTATTGATTTTGTGAAACTCTTTGCATAGCAGAAACTGGCATCAAGGAATCCACCCGACCATCGTTCAACCAATGGTGGGTGATCAATTAGAATCCTGGAAGCATCCAATGGTTATCAATGATCATGAGCCGCTCATAAGGGAACCTTGGGATTCCAAAAGCACCAAGCCAAACCACCTGTTGAGCGTTGGTTGAATCATGTTCTATTTTATACTGAAGAAGTTTTTGGTATGCACGACTTAGCTATGCGTCAGGAAACAAGTTTTTTCTCTATATCCCAATCTCGCCCACACTCTTGTCGCAATTCGACCTTCCAGTGGTCTGAGCTTGCGATGGAAAACCACCCATTTATGATGTACATAAATATAGGAGGTTTCCAAAAATAGGGGTACTCCAAATCATCCAAATTTCGACCATGTGTGTATATTGAATCTCATGGTTTTGGGGATCCATTCCAAGAAGCCCTCATATAGGTGTGTCTGAAAACGGGGTACACCCCCAATGTAGCTGTTGAATAGGAACAATAATGATTAACCAGTGGATGGGACCGGGGCTGTACCTTATTTTCAGACAATTTCATACAATTACATGTACAAAACAATTGACAGATGATTTTCCTAGTCTTCAATCTGCCTGTGTTGCAGATATTTTTGCTATCAACTTTACATCAAGCATGACCAGAACTTATATATATATACATTGATATTTGATACATGTATAATCATGTATACATATAATTTGTATAACCATCATAAAAGATAAAACATACTATAGTACTAATTCACACTAAGTATCCATATGTATCCAAGTGCAATTTACACTTAAGCATAGTCATCACTTCGGTCATCGCCCGAAATCGCCGCAGGTGGGATCATGGTGAGTCCTCGGTGGATTCCATGGGTCGACTATGCACAGAGGCGACCGTTTTCGCGAATCCCCGGGAAAATGATGGAAAAAATACCTTTGTTCTACCCCATAGGATCCATGTATGGTATATCAACATTGTATTGGATATTATATCAACATCAATATGTTTTTTGTATTCAACCATTGTAGCCCATGACGGATCCATGGTGCTGTATACTGGTTGGTGGTTGGAACATGATTAACCATGATTAACCTTCATTAACCATCATTGCCCCATACCCCATGACGGATCCGGCTGGTGCTGGTATATATGCTAACATGACTGTGGTATATTGATGGTAAAATATGGGATCTATGTTACCATATATAGCAGCACCATGGATCCGTCATGGGTACTGGTTGGTGGTTTGGAACAGCCTCTGGCCCAAAACCCTGCCAGCCGTGGTGAGGCTGTGCAAGCTAGTTGGTGGTTTGGAATATGCACTATATTCTGGTTGGTGGTTTGGAACATGTTGTTTTTTCTCCATATATTGAACATTTCATGATCCCAATTGACGAAGTCCATCATTTTTCAGAGGGGTAGGTCAACCACCAACCAGTAGTAGGATAACTCAACTTGATCAACTTGATCAACCATGGGTTTATGTATGTATATGTGTCAACCTTTGTTAGATACGAACTAGTACTTTAGTCTTTAGCTATCAAGGGTAAAATGTACATTCACCAGCTGAAAATGAGATTGTTTGACAGGTATTTGAGATTCACCACGACAAGAAAACATAGACATCGTAGATACATCGTAGATACGTCGAATCTGCATCTATTTGTTTCAAAACATGTATATCATAGACACGTATTACAGTATATATATATATTATGTATACATATACCTGGAGCCTATGGAGCTCCAATTTTAGAGCAAGGCCATGTTCCACTATGATCCACGCCTCCATGTATAAAAACACGCCCCTGCCATAAAAACATGGTCCCCTTGATTTTGGCATTTTTTGTTGGAGTATGTTAAAACACTCATAATGCCAAGATATTCCTATGGTGCCTTTATCCACTGATATTTGTTCTCATACCGACACCCAGCCGCTACCCGCTGCTCATGTGACCTCACTGGCTGGGCAAAAGTAGTGCCAGCAAAGTGCTGGGCTGAGTGGGGGGTTCAGGTGATTCAAGTGGTTTAAAGAGTTTAGAGATCCAATCGGCTTCTTTTCTCCCCCACCGCTCAAGTAAGCATCAAATCTAATTACATCCCCCGGTCATCGTTGTCAGAGGCCGCCAGAGCAAACATGCTAGCAATAAGAGCCCGGTCACAGACCCTTTTGTGTAAGAGTGATCCAGCATGAACTCTCCGACTTATTCTAGCAGGTTTGCCAATATAGTCCTCCTGTTGCTGTGCACTGGTAGCTAATGGTGAGATCACCCACTGAGAACGCATTGAATCAAGTATTAAGCGAATACCAGCATGGTGCACCATGTGCAATTTTGGGATGATGGCATATCGGTTTTTCCCTTCCCGGAGACATTGCTTTGCACATACACCGTAGGCTTGCACAAAACCCATTAGCATCCTGCCAAGCTTGTTCCCGAAGAAAGATCGGATCCAGTAGCCGTGGCTAAACATGAACGACATTGACATGTTCGCTGCCTTTGTGCCCCGTGCCTAGGATTGGTAAAGTATCAAAACAACACCACATGTACTCTGACAAAAAATAAAACCATGACCAAGACCAAAACAGAAAAAAATGTTCAAGTTCAAAACCATTCAAATTACAATTGCACACAACACCACATCGTCAGATTCGCCAACTCCATACCGATCACACAACGTCTCTAAGTACTGGCAGAAGTGTGTTGAGACCACACCTTTGGACCATTGCCCCAGAGGACATGCACTTGACATAGGAAAGGCCATGGTTGCCCTTGATATCTCTGACAAATAGGGTGAGATCTTGCGGGTGCGGCAAAACGCTTTGAAGTCACTGGTCAGCCAAGAAAACTTAGCTTCAACAGACCCTTGAAGGGGGGCCAAACCCAGCCTCTCAATCAAAGACACGAAAGCACATGCCACCCAATGTTTCAGGCACCCCAAATGCATGTTGTGCCAAATGTCAGTTTCAAAGAACTGTGCCCGACTGGATCGATCCAAAGGAATGCCCCGTAGTAATGTGGGTTCTCTCAACCACGGATCTGAAGTGTGCATAGTAGGAAGCCATGATGGCTGTAGTGAAAAATCCTCAAAGGGACAATCTACTTGCCCATGTTCGTTTCTCTCCTGACCTGCTTTGCAGTAGTGGCAGATGCCTTTGGACGCAGTGCGGCTAGAACTTGCCTTGCAAACGTGAGAAAATGTCCTTGTCAGTCCTCCAACTTTAGCTAAGGCAGGAAGGTCGCCTTTGGTGGCAATGTGTAGCATGAACACAGTCTTTGTGCCATCACTACTAGTGACCCCCTCCGTGATCAGCTTCTCACAATCTGAGGCAAAGATATCTAGCAAAATATCCAAGCAATCAGTTCTTTCGTTCATGAACTGCCGAACCACACTGGTGAACATCATGTGTGTTGCCCATGTGTTGCCTATGAAGTTGAGGCCCATCTGCAATTTAGAAAGCTCTGCCTTGTGCTTCTGCTTGCGGACGTAGGAGCTGGTGCCCCTCCCCAAGGCCCCATGAACTGACAAGACATAGATCGGTTTCGATTTGTAAGTCCGGCCCTCATCAGAATGAGAATAGAAAGGAATGGTCCTTTTGAGGTCACAAGGCAAAGTAAACACCTCGTGATTAGGGTATAGCTCCCTGAAGCGAGCCCAGTACTCGCCAAGGACAACTTGCATTCTTTCCCAGCTGCCCACTCCTACAAATTGTCTCCAAAGCCTGTTCGTGTCAAGTAGCCATTGTGCCCAAGAGCTGATCCTGATGTAGGGTATGCTCTTCATACCATCCATTGTTGGATACTCTACTTTGACAGGCGCACATAGGCCTAGCTCCCTGAACAACTCATGACAGCCAGCCTCCGCATCTTCAACAGGGATTTTGGCAAAACGTTTCACAGCAGCATTGGGACGTGGATTCCCACTCACCTCTGCCCGGGCTAGCTCGACAACTCGGCAGCAAGGAACCTTAGAGGCCAGCGCTGGCAAACATAGAAAGGAAAAATGCAAGAGAAAACTCAGATGTGCCTCAACATTCGTTTGAAGATTGCTCAACAGGTACACTCAGCACTCAGCACTCATAGCAGTATTTTTTTGCCAAGTAGTGTGAGTCCACAGGCAATCCACAAGCTAAAGGTAATTTTGATGCAACAGCAGCTTGAAAGTAATTTCAGCCCACCCAGCGGGGTTGGTCTGCCCGACCCCCAACCACATAAGTATAGTATGGGGGGTGAGAAGGCACGTTGGCCCGGTTCAGAGCACCCTCACCACCAGAATTTGGTCTGTTTTTGCACCCGACGTGCTTTCCAAATTCATGTATTAAAGCTGCCTCAAGCATATGAATGAGGTCTATGCTGTCAGATTGGGTCAGTACCCACATGCAGGTGTACCCTCTTTCTAGGTACCACTCAAAACGACGTGCGGGATGGCATGTCACCCCGATCTTAAAGATACAAAGACGAACTCCCATTTCTTCCCTCATAGAAGTGATTTGGTCCACGGCATGTTTCAAGATTTTGCCAGTAGTCGGGTTTCCGCTTGTGGCCAAACATTTCATTTCTAACCCTGACTTGAAGATCCGATCTGATTCAGAAAGCTCAGTAGGCGGTCCTTGGGTTGAAGAACCACCAAATTCTGACGAGACATCCTTCACCTGAGCTAGGCTGATGTCATGTGGGATGAAGTCTCAGGGGAACATCAAGTAATTCTAACAACCCCAAACTTTCATGATCAATGCATTGATTGGCAGAATGTGCGCCAAGGTGCTGGCAGTGGATGCTGTTCGGTGACCACAGCAGTCTGGTCCCGGGAGAAATAATCCATCAAGGGGTCCCAAAAATCATCATCATCATTGGAAGAGACCAGTGGAGGGACAACTTCTTGGGAAGTCCTTGGATATAGGATGTTGCACATGAAAATGACACCAACATAAATAAATTCACTCATAGTAGAAATATAATGAAATATATATATGTGCATAACCATAACTGTGGCCAAATGGCTTTGCAATCTTCACAATGCTAGATGGGCTGACAGCATCCACAGTCCGCTTGATCCCCATGGGCCAAAGGGAAGAAGGTGGAAGAATAAATCAATAGAAATTAAAACATACGGTTTTCAAGATGCCATATGATTGAAAAAAGTGAGCATAGATACTTGTTCAACATTTTTGGACCTGATGTGCACGGCTGATTGCTGAATCACCTTTTTCCAGTTTTGTTGGCGTCACTGAATGGTTTTGATCCATCATGCAGCTGCATGAACATAAGCGAATCATAAGTGATTGGCAAGCTTCCACCTTGATCCACTAGCTGCACTGGCTGGCATGAGTTCCCGGCTCCGTAGCTGATGAGCTGGGCACAGTGATTCAAGAAGTCGTCGGGGCCCTGGAACTTGCGATCCTCACCTGGCAATGGGCTGCAGTTGAAATATAATACAATATCGCGGGGGGGGCAATCAAACTTTGGCGAAATCATGTATTTTTGGTTTTAAACTTCAACGGGTTTTATTGCCTATCAATCTCTCCTAGTTAATCAGTATGGAGATGTTGAAGAATTCCGGGCTTGACTTTGCAGAGTTTCTCTGATATTATTGTATGACAATTTGACAGCATCTCAAGCCCCAAGCATCTTGATTTCCGCTCGACCCCCCGAGCTGACACCGGTGATAGGAGGATTGGCACGTGCTTTGCACATGTTGACCCGAGGCATGTATAGTGCGTTTGCACCCACTGCTACTTTCAACTTCCAGCCATTTTCCAAGACAAAAAAGCTTGGGGTGATCTCAAGACTAAGTTGGGGAAGTGATAGTACTTGGAAAAACTCCGCTCATGACTGGGTTCCCAAAACCAAGGCATTGGTCCACTCACTGGTCTTTCTGAAGCATCTTCAG